CATTATTTTGCGTTGCGATAGTAATTTCTGAACAGTTTTTTGCGGGGGCTTATTTTCGGCCTGATTTTGCTGCTATCAGACGGAAAAAGTTTGCGGCTCTATATTTTTGGTTTAAAGCGACACTGAAACAAAAGAAATTCATTTTTAAATAGTATTCGGTAACCTCTGCTTGGGAGGTAAAAAATCGGCCGATTTTATTTTTTAGCCGGAAATCATCGGTCGTTTCTTAGGCGCAGGGCCTCTTAAAGGAGCTAAGTCACGGTTTCCGCATCTTGAAAAGTCTAGCCTGAATTTTTCACGTTTGTCGTCGTTTGCAATCCGCGTTAATCTTTTCCATCCTTACCCCGGCCGTCCTTGTTCCTTTATGGTTTATCTCTTTGGGATTTTCTATCTTAGTAGCGTGCTTTTTTCAGGTTTCCTTCAATTTATATGTAATTTTGTACGTGGCCAAAATAACTCAAAATGCCGTGGCGGACCTCCTTTAACATTAACATTCTCTTAGCTGGTTTCTTTTCGTGCTATTTCTGATATTTTGACGGCTTGGCAAGTCTTATATACATACATCCTTTATTTGGAAGAGGTCGAGTTGAAGGCAGCACCAGGCTGATGTGTGTCACCACACGCGTGACGAAGTCTTTGGGTTGAAGGGGAAGTTGTTTCTAGATTATTCTTTAAGATTGTCATTGCAAGGTGAAACAAACGTGAAGTACGAGTGATGTTGCTGTAACAAACGCACGCGACCCACTGAAGGTCTCCATGCCACAAAAACAACGTATAACACTTCAACCTACTCCGCATACGGACAAGAAAAGAACACAAATTTGATTGCAATAGTCATTCCTTGAAGGAAAACACTTGAACTCCCGATTCCTTCAGTAAAATTGAAACGCTCCTGGGAAGTATGCTGATCATGACTACCGGGTCAGGAGTTTGACTCCACCCACATCTTGCAGACAAATCTCGTACACAAATCTCATCCTTCCGGGATTTAATACTTAAAAGCCCGACGAAGCAGGACTCAGAAGAAATGCTTCTTCCTTTCGGAAAAGGTTGTTCGTTCACAAATGCGGAAAATAAAGAATTCCGCTAACGATATCTAAAGCCGAGCATGCGACACTTTTGCTATTTGTATTTATCGTACCTAACATCCTTAGAAATTGTACGTAGAACAGTAAAATTAACGAAACAACCGAGCAACATGCAGTACATTCTAAAATCCAAGTGCTTGTAAACATGTGCACATATTGGTAGTCGCAGTTACGTCCTCGTGTATTGGTTCATTAAGGGCCTCTTCATATGAGCCCGGTCAACCGGGCTGGCTCGATTTCCGAGATCTCGCCTTGCCACTCTCTCCTTAGCAAAATGTGTTCATATGAGAAGCCAGGCTGGCCTGGTTACCGAGATCTTGGTAACCGGGATGAAAATTTTCCAATATGAACGCTTCAGCCCGGGTAACCGGGACGAGACCTTTTAGACGAAATAGCTTCGCTTTCGCAACATAGCGGCCAAAATGGCATAATTTTAGCCTTGTATGTATTTCCACTTTAGGAGTAGGCGAATTAGCTTTATTAGTAAAGTTACAAGAGTCCACAAAACTGCGACAGCCGCGAACGATACAAGTTTACGTTCCACCATTTTGGTTGTTTCTTGGACTTCATCCCGGTCGACCGGGCTGAAATTTCCCATAGGAACAGACAACAAAATTCGTCCCGGTTACCGGGCTCATGTGAAGAGGCCCTAAGGGAATAATCATTGTATTGCCTGCGTCTTGAAGTCTTTGTTTAGCTGTATTATTTGGTGTTTTTGTGTCGGTTCCCGTCAGTTTACCGGTGCACGAGGACAGAACATAGTCGTCTTTCTTAGTTGTTCCCAATTGGTAATCTCCTTACAACCAGCTAATGGTTTAACACGTTAGTAAAATTGCTGTTAAGTTGTTTTATGGTAACGTTAACTTGGGGAGAGGAGGGGAGGAGCAATAAAATGCATGAGGCCTGTCGCCGGGGTGGCGAGGTCAGGAAATGATCAGATTGGCGTACTTTTCTCTCTTCGAAAAGGAGGGCCCAGCCACCTTGGCTCAACCGTCCCCAGTAAGTACGACAAAGACATGAAAGTTAATATGCAAGATGTTGATTACTACGTCCGTCTTTCTTTAGGCAGATATGCAGCTGCCTTCACTTGACGCAGACAGCGATTCACGTGGTGCAAGTTGTGCTGGGATACCTGCTGATGTTGGTAGTGATGACGTATCAAGTTTACCTGGGCATTGCTGTAATATTAGGAGCGGGACTGGGCTACTTTTTATTTGCTGGATTGATCAGTGAAGGCGTTCAAGGGAAACCCAAGTGTAACCCGAACTCCACGGAAGAGAATTCAGCAATTGTTCTAGGCATGACAAATTTCAACGAAATCAGTGGTGGACCACAAATGCAGGAACAAAGTTCTTCCTATTTGGGCATTCATAATAAGGGATTTGGCCACGGCTAGTTATTCAGCTTAGCTGTAGGCTGGTCTTTTGTATCGGTTCTTGTGTACCGGTACAGAAGGACACAACCTAGTCGTCTTTCCGAATTGTTGGCCCAAGGCCTATTCTGATGTAAATTACAACTAAGAGCTACTAGGCCCACGATAGAATCGTAATATTCCACTTAGAGAAACAAGTGTAAAAGCTAAATAACTGGAGGAAAATCATGTCCGAAAGACGCAAACAACTTAACGAATAAAAATAGAGCGTTAGTTTGTATTTTCCACATAAAATATTTCACTAACTCTTTCTAGATTATTAGCTACATTTGTACATGGCAGAGCTTTTAATCTTAGACTATTGGCGGCAACAAGTACTGATGGTCACAGAAGGTATACTAAGTAATCCTGATAACTTTTTCCTAGTTTATACTGTTCCCTTCTAAAAATACCCAATCAGAAGGAATTGAGAGTAATAAACGTGTTTCCTCATATGATTACTTTTTCGACTTTCTTTTGACGTCATCATGCTAGTAGTGCTACTTTTAAATACTAACATGCACTACGCTGATCCCCCATTTTCAGCCAAGTGTACAGATTTAATTTTACATCGATCGAACTCTAGGAATCAATCGAGCTCGCAATTTTGTTTTTAGATCAGAAGCTGAAGCTTACTTTGGCAAGCTAGCATCATAACACTCGAGAAAACACTCATTTCATTCTTATGACTCTTATTAAAAATAGTATCGTTTCGTTGCTGCAAAAGGTAATTCTAACAGTTACCTTTTAATTTGGGTAAAACGTTACTGTGTCCGTTCAAATGAAAGAACTGAGTACAGTTCTACTCCTGTTCCTGGTTTTTGTTTTATTATTTTGCCAAAGAAATCATAACCTTTATCCATTTTGAATTTGATAACTTGATAGAGAAAGGAATAAAATGGCTGAATTTGCACGCTCACCTTGTTATTTGTCTATCCTCACTAGGCTGGCAAATCTGGCCTGCTGTCTAGCTATCTGTTATTCAAATTAGTAACACGGGAAACTGTCATTTAAAACGGCGACGCCACATCACCCATCTCCACATAAACTGACTTGACTTGCGTGTAATAGTTGATGGAATCTTCGCCCAGTTCCCGACCCACACCTGACATTTTGTAGCCACCGAAGGGAACCTCGGCTGGTGTTAAATTGTAATTATTGATCCAACAGGATCCCGCTTGGAGATTAGCGATAACGCGATGGGCGCGAGTGAGGTCTCTGCAAATAGACAGCATGTGTAAAAATTAAGCAACGAAAACAAACAAAACGGAAGGATGGAGAGGCAGAAAGGGTAAGGGAAGGGACGGGACGGATAGGACCCAATGTAAAATAGAAAGTCACGTCACAACTTTGCCCTTTTGGTCTGAAAATGGGTCTAGTTTATCTTCTGGTCTGAAATTAGTCGTGGTTTCTAAGAGAACCACGATATCATATTTACATCAAATATTTTTATCTCGTTCCACGGTTCATTTATCTTTGAACAGAAAAAGGAGAAAAGGAGACTATCATTCGATGCACCATAAAATGATCAAAAACCCAAACGGCCGGGTCTGCAAACGTGATGGAAAATGGCATATTTTCTGGGTCTTAATCCGCGTGCAGGCGTCCACTATTGTCTTTGTTTGAAAAGGATTAAAGTTGTAGAACGTAGCGTTACATGCCTGGGTTACATGCACTCCAAACAGATTTAGGAGAAACCTTCCTCCTCCTATCTGGTCACAGTAATTGACCGCTCTCTTCACAACAATTTGATTCGACTTAATACTCCGTAATATTTCCAAGTCCCTCTTCCATCTGGACAAACGAACCACATGGAAGCCAAAACACAGCGGTATGGCCTGTCTTCGACAGTAGAGTAACATTACTTATGCTAACTTGTAAACTTAAAGCAATTGCTCCAGGCAGAAATGTCTGATCAGATACAGAAACCAAAAGTATCTGACTCATTCCAGCCTTCTCTTATCAGAAAACTATAGGCTGTGATTAGAGATGACTAGAGACAAGTCACTTAGAGGCCTAGTGGCTCAGATATTGACTAAGAATGTTACTTTATTATATGGCTAGCTCCGTGAGCGGGCAAGATGAACCAAATCCTGCACTGTGATTGGCTACCCGAGCGGGCAAGATGGAGTTATCTTGCCCGCTCGGGACTACCTGCCGTGTCCCGNCTTGGTCCATAAACACGCAAAAAAAGAACTTGGCCAATATCCAGCCATCTTGACCTCACACTTGGTCAATTACCCATACATACTGCCCACCATTCCAAGGACACTGAACAAAATGCCAGTGGAAGAGCTCAGTACATGCTATAAAGTAGATGGTCCCTTACTTTGTGAACACTCCCGCAGCTAATCCAAAATGAGTGTCATTGGCTCTATTCACAGCTTCTTCTTCTGTGTCAAATGGTAGAACTGTCATGACAGGACCAAATATCTCCTCCTTGACAACTGTCATATCATCTGAACAGTCTGTCATTACACAGGGTGACATGTAGAAGCCATTGGCCAATCTAGGCTCATCCATTTTTAAGCGTTCACCCCCACAGAGAACTTTGGCACCCTAAAGAAATAATTATCAATTGGCTAGGTCTAATAAGGTCAACAGGTAATGTCTCCATTGGGTGAAATGGTAAATACCTTTATTATTTGCATAAATATGTAGCCAAAGTGCTTGCTGAAGGAGTACAGTATTCCAAGACTGCAATAAATTTTGGGAATGGCCAGCCATTTGATGCTTACGTTTTCACACACTTGCTCTTCTTGGAGAGTTGCACACCCAGGGGGTAGTTCATTATATAAGCAATACTTAGTTCCTTAACCCCGAGTGGGGGATAGGGCTGGAATATGTATGGGTTATTGACCAAGTGTGAGGTCAAGATGGCTGGATATTGGCCAAGTTCTTTTCTTGCGTGTTTATGGACTGAGACTCCGTCTCAGTCCATAAACTCGCAAAAAAAGAACGAGGCCAATATCAAGCCATCTTGACCAAACAAGTTTGGTCAATAAAGGATTTAGTATATGGCTTCCCGGGAAATTTTTCTGACAGGACACAGTGGGTAGTCCCAAGCAGGCAAGATAGCTCCATCTTGCCCACTCGGGTAGCCAATCACAGTGCAGGATTTGCCCACTCACGAAGCTAGCCATATAATAAATGCATATATACAACCCCAAAAGTATGGTTTTTGAACAATTTTGGTCAAAGTAGGATATTGTTTTGCGCATTCTGGTCAGCACCTAACCATATCATTGAAGAAGCCACTTTTGCCATTGCTATTATTCACCACTCGAGAAGTGATTGGGAATTACAAACCCTGCTGAAATGTTACTGTAAACCAAAGGAGTCCCTAAGTGGGATCTGGTCTGAAACTGGGGAACTATTTTTTCATTTTTCGGCTTATCTAAAGCACACAGGAAGTTGCAAAGTTTTGGTCTGAAATAAGGCAAGGGTAACAAAAAGTACATCATACATCCCAGACTCTTTTTTTATTTTATATATTTCTTACCTCTTTTTTCGCTGTGTCCACATATTCAAGCACTTTGTGAAGATGTTCTTCAGAAATCAGAGCCCCCATCTGAGTGTCTGGATTCATAGGATCTCCTACTTTGATGTTTTTAGTACGCTCCACTACTTTACTGAGAAATTCATTTAAGATGCTCTTTTCCACAAATACCCGAGTTCCATTGGAACACACCTGTTAGTAAATAAGGAAAAGTACATTGATGAATAGTGCAATGCTCACTGAGCCTCAAGGAAGAACATTTTCCCAGAGGACTTACAGGCAAGGATGTTATATATTGAACACTGCATATGTATACTAATTTATAAGTTCTCTACCTCTCCCTGTGTAAGAAAGTTGGCCATCATTGCTCCCTTAACAGCATTTTCCAGGTCAGAATCAGCAAACACAAGAAGAGGAGATTTCCCTCCCAGTTCAAGAGTGACTTTTTTAACACCAGCTGATGCATCTGCCATGATCTGTGACAAGAGGAGAACTAGTATTATAATATTATAACAAAACCTGAAATATAATATAGAACTTCCAACTGACAATATATTTTGGAAATGGTAAATATATGACAACTTTAAAATCAGACCCCACTATGTACTGTAGACAATATTATTACTTACCATAACCAAATTCGCAATTACCCAATCAGAAGCCTTGTCTACTGTCCTGATATCCTGTGATATCAAGTCACTAACCTGATATGGCTACGATATCATGCTCACTTGGCCAAATTTGTGTACGGTAAATATCTAATCGTACCTTTTTGGTACACTTCGGCAGCATCTCAGGTTCATTTGGTCTCGCCATGGGTATTTTCGTCAAAATATGAACCATGGCTCGTCCAAACTCAACTGATATGCTGCCGAAGCATCAAAAAAAGAGATAAGATTAGGTATAAATATTACTAATTTCAACAAAGAACATGCTTTGAGCAAAATTTCAGACAAATTTCAATGTCCAGATTGTAATCAAATATTTCATTACCATCATTAGTTGCCCTCTCTTGTGTATTCCTCTTATAATTTGTCCTTATGATAGTAAACTTAATTTTTCTTAGATTACTTTTTATCTTGTTTAGATTAGAAGGCGGCTGATGACTTCTCCACTAGCAAATACCTTACAGTTAGTTTTTTAAAATGCCAGTTCATGCCTATATTGAAGGTTGTTGGCATATAGAGTATCATCAGGCAATTTCCCCTGAAATGAATGTTACTCCCCATTGCAGTTTTTTCAACCCCCAACATTATGTTGTTCCAGCAAATATCCTCACCCTTCCCAGAGAGGTTTTTGGGTTTGAAACACCTCCATTCCATCCCCTTAAAATTTTGGCTTTTGAGATCCCCTTCCCCCCTTTGAACTTTCAGTAACCCTCCACGACGTGGGCATGGATATTTTCTGGAGCCACACCTTTTGCCAAGTTGTCCTGACACTTTGTTTATATGCACTGATACTCCTGGTGATCAGTGATGCACTGCAAGAGTACAGTGTGAAACCCAAGAACAGCAGGTAACAACCTTGTCCACCTGGGTATAACTCAGATCTTTTAACCTGGAGTCCAGGAAAAGTTACCATTACACCATGGGGTTCAACTTTCAGGAAAAAACCTTGGGGCCAGCTGGCCCCTAAGTTTTCAGATTTAGTCACCAGCTTAAGTATTTCAGTGAAGAGTGTGGAAAGTTAGACGCCAGTGAAAAAAAATTTGGTTGCACTGGCGACCCCAGTGGTCACAATGTCGAGCTCTGCACCACTGTGCCATCATCTTACAGATCTTACCATCTAATTTTTATTTCAGTCTAGTCTGTGATCTGGACATACTGCACGTCCACTTCAAACAGTAGCAATCACCTTACTTTTGATACAGCAACATTAACAGGGTTTAAGAAATTTACTTCAAATGACCATAAAGTTCACCTTTTGTCCTGTGGGCACAGATCCCGTAAATGAAACCTTTGCAACATCAGGATGTGATGTTAGCAAGTGACCAGTCACTCCTGCACCCTGAACAACATTTAAACCTCCATTAGGGAGCCCTGCTTCTGTAAAGATTTCAGCGATGTAGACAGCAGTCTGGGGTGTGAGGGGTGATGGCTTGAACACGATGGTGTTCCCACAAGCTAGGGCAGGCGTTGACTTCCAGACACAGATTTGAAATGGGTAGTTCCAAGCCCCAATTCCTACAAACAATGCGATATGTACATGATATCTGGTTCCTTCAAAGGATCTTTGACTGAAGTTATCCTGCATTTCTCACCAACCTGCTACCACACCCAAAGGTTCCCTTCTAGTATAGGAGAAAGATCCATTTGGAAGCTGGATATGCTTTCCACTGATGGTAGGTGCAAGACCGGCATAGTAATCAGTAACATCAGCACAGCCTTCTATGTCCCATACAGCTTCGTGAAATGGCTTTCCTAATAAAGAAAGAAACATCATTGTGTACATGTGAATGTGCGATAATATTCAATTTAGTTCACACAGATTGTACATGGTCGCTACCACAATGATGACAAGTTTTGGGACCATACAATTATACCAAGAATGAGCAATTACAGTTAAAAGAAACTAATTTCCATATCAAATTTGCTTTTTACACCTTTCTCCAGAGGGCTGTCTTTTTTGTTGACCATAATCACACAATTGTTTATTGCAATACTCCATGTAAAAACCTTTACAGTCGCCTTTGGGTTAAAATGCCAGTGCCACTCTTTTAGCTGTGTAGGGATGTAAACCTCTCAAAAAGCACCTCTGTGGAGTCTATGTGTTGTAAATAAGTGCCTCATTGTCATTTAGGGGTGCACTGGGGTGGATCCAGGGGTGGTTAGGGTGGTTCAGTCAAACCCCATAAATGAGATGAAAAATTGCTTAAATATGTGTCGTTTCTGACAAGAACCTTTGTGGGCAAACATTGCTAACAAATATTATATTTCATCTTCTGAAAAAAGACTTACTTGAAAAGGGCAAATTAAAATACTATTGATGGACGAGAGTTTTTTACTGCTTTTAAATGCCTCATTTATAATGGTAATTGAACTGAGTGGAGTGCAATTTGGTCTGAAATCATACGCGTGATTTCAAAATCAAACGAGCGTGCAGCGCAAGTTCGATTTGAAATCACAAGTATGATTTCAGACCAAAATTGCACAACACAAAGTTCAATTGCCACTTTATTACATCCATTTTGAAATCGCACAATTTTACCGCCTTAAATTTTACATTTTTGGTGTATTGTTGCAGTAGCCAGTTTGTTAACAAAAGCGGAACCGGAAACGTCTTTACGTCTAATTTAGTATGCAAAACAATGTCATGTGATGAAAACTCATTCGAGCATGACAAAGAAACAAGCAGTTCTGATCTGAAGTCGAAAATAGTCTACTTCAGGTATAAAAGTGCAATTCTCGTCGCCTGAAT